ATTTGATTTTGTTAGCGTAAGATCCATTGGAATAGTTGTTTTACTTGTTAGGTTGTAATGTACCTACTTATTTTAAACCTATTTTTGTTTACAGAATTTTCATGTAGTAAAAATGACATTATAGTTGCCTCATCAATCCACTCACTGTTGCCACCTTGCATCAAACACGCCTTACAAAAAGAAAACAACAACGTGATTGTTGATGTGTCATTTCAAAAATAAATACCGCTACTTTGAACACTGTGTTTTAATTCGACGAAATAACCTACCTACAAGTAGATAGACAAAAATAAGTTTGAACAACTAAAAAAAAAAAATGTTAAGGTACCATCTTATGATACAGCAAACAAAAAATAGTTTATCAACTGAATAATTGGTATTGTACCTTCTATTTTGTTTCTATAATAAAAAAATTTGGATACTGAACAATTATTCAGTTACTCAACTGAATAATTGTTACTGAGCATGAATAATTGTCATTTGGTCATTATACACTCTATTTTGTTGCTACAACAAAAAATTTGGTTACTGAACTATTATTCTGGTGAAAATATGTTTTAACTATTAATTTCTGGTTGTTATAACTATGAAGGTGGATAGGCGCATTTTCATATGCTCTTTTTGGTTGATTTGACCTATCATTTTCTTTGAGTGTGTGGGCCAAATTCATTTGGAACCCAATTTGGCTCTGAATATATTGTTTTTTTTATTTGGCGGATTTTTGTGAAATTTTATATGGGGGGGGTCTTTCCTTAATTGTAGAAAAAATATCCAATCAAAATATACAGGGGGAGCCAAGTAAGAAGCAGTATTTTGATTCGTTGCCTTTGAGGCTGTTGCAAAATTAAATTTTTCACTCTAGAATTACATAAATTATTTGAAAATATTGAGAAATTATACGAAAAGAGGCTATAAGAAAATGTTTCGAAAAACTTCAGGTTATGTATTAAAAACGTATTTTTTTCGGAAACTTTGGTAAATAATATTACTATACAGTGTAATAGGGTTTTATTCAATAACAAATTAAAAGAGCGAAAATAAAAAAACCTATTGTGAATATGACCTCCCTAATTATCTACAACAGCTTGGAGTCTTCGTCGCCATTGTCCAGTTGACTCATTTATAATTTCTTAACTATAGGTAGGTATTGAACAATGGCGCCTAAGACTCCAAGCTGTTTTAGATAATCAGGGAGGTCATATTCACAATAGGTTCTTGAAAAATTATTGAAAAATCTTTTTTCTACAACTGTCAAAAAATGAAGATGTTCGCACACTCATGACAGTTTGCCAAGTGACACTTTTTTCCCAGGTATTGATTTTTTAACGTTCCCATGACGCCGTGCGCGAACTAGCTATTTCGCACACTAGTGCGCGAAATAGCTAGTTCGCACACTGGTGTCATGGTGACACATACCTGTTAGGAAACCAAAAATAATTAAAATTCGCCTACCTTTGATTGAGAATGCAATTTTGGCTTCGAATGATCGTAATTTAAATGGAGTTGTAGAAAAAATATTGTTTGCAACTCGGGCGCGAAATACTTTGGTGAACTCGATTATATACAGGGTGTATATTTTAAGTGATACCACTATTGCTATATCCGAAACGGTAAGAGCTACAAGGTCGGTTAAATTAGAAAAAAGTTGCCTTTTTTGATGCCCATTCAAGACTCGCTTACAGTGTTGCCAAATTCTTTTCAGTTTATGAAATACAGGGTGATTTCTAAGAAACGTCCAAAACTAGTTCATCAATTATTTTGAAAACTATTGATTTTCGAGACACAATTTAAATTTGAAAGTTTTTTAATTTTTTTCGCTCTACGACATGGTTTCATCAAATTTCAAATCCGATGTTTCGTAATCGAGCTACCATCATCAACTTCATTTTTTTAGATACGGACCTGGATTTTTCATGTCATTTTTAGAAAGTGCCTTTTATTCCCTTTGTAAAAATGACATAAAAAGACCAGGTCCGTATTAAAAAAAATGCAGTTGATGATGGAAACTCGATCAGGAAACGTCGGGTTTGAAATTTGAAGATGCCATGTAGTAGAGCGAAAAAAATTATAAAACTTTCAAATTTAAATTGTGTCTCGAACATTAATAGTTTTCGAAATAATTGATGAAATAGTTTTTGGCCTTTTTAAGAATTCACCCTGTATTTCATAAGTAAAAGGAATTTGACAACACTGTAAACAAGTTTTGAATGGGCATCAAAAAAGGCAACTTTTTTCTAATTTAACCGACCTTGTAGCTTTTACCGTTTCGGATATAGTAATAGTGGTATCACTTAAAATATACACCCAGTATAGGGTGTCCCACGGTGGATGGCGTATTAGACGTTTATGGAGAACTAAAAAGCGGATCATTTTGAAAATTTGGCAACCGGGATAAATGACCATGATCTACACTTTGAAAATATTTTTGACCATGCGGTGTTGCCGCTTCTACTCTAAACTAGTGGCAACATCACTATTTTAAATGGAACACCCCCTATGTGCTTGCATATTTGGATTCTACGTAAAATTCTGAGCAGATTTCATGTGACATACCCTATACCTAAGTTCAACTGTTTTGGAAATATTGACAGTTGAAAATTGACTTTTTGCCACTCTGACAGGCTGTAAAACCTGAACGGTTAATTTTAGAGGAAAACCGATTTTACATTCCTATCTTAGATTTTTATAAACTATCATTTGACACCAACTTTGAATTAAATCCATGATTAAAAATTTCAGTTAAATTTAATCTCCGGTTAAGTTCAAAGTTGGTGTCAAATGATAGTTTATCAAAATCTAATATAGGAATGTGAAATCTGTTTTCCTCTAAAATTAACCAATTAGGTTTTACAGCCTGTCAAAGTTGCAAAAAGTCAATTTTCAACTGTCAATATTTCTAAAACAGTTGAACTTAGGTATAGGGTATATCACATGAAATCTGCTCAGAATTTTACATAGAATCCAAATATGCAATTACATACAGGGTGTTCTATTTAAAATAGCGATGTTGCCACTAGTTTAGAGTAGAAGCAGCAAGACCGCATGGTCAAAAATATTTTTAAAGTGTAGATCATGGTCGTTTATCCCGGTTGCCAAATTTTCAAAATGATCCGCTTTTTAGTTCTCCATAAACGCCATCCACCGTGGGACACCCTGTATAATCAGGCGATTTGGACGCATCAGAAACATTTTGAGTGGTTAGTGATTTCTGTGGAAACAGACTTATTACCTTTCACAACTATAATTTAGGACTTGTTTCATTTTAATTGTTTATTTACTTAATGTCGAAATGATCAAATGTCACTCCTATAACTCACTGCTAATAAATGGCGCCACGACCTCGGTGTCCAGAGTGATTTGTGATTTGTGAATAAATCTAACCCCAGTGTCAGAGCAGAAATTAATAGATCGAACGTCGGCCCAACTACCTACTTTCGACCACAAAGTATGAACATGGTATGAACCAATTGGATCAACATTGGATAGTTCTTGAACACTTGAACTGTCAAACATCCGAAACAGATTTAAACGAAAAATAATTATTGAACAAAAAATTAAAACAAACAAACTAGTGCAAATTATGAATAATTTATGCTTTATCGAACTCGGTCGTTGACGCTAAGAATACGCATACTAAATTACAAGAACATAATAGCGCTGATTGACGCTGCTGCCTCTAGCGAGAAAAAATTGAACAAATTATCCCATACATAAACATTTTTATGGTCCTAGGAACATAATGGATCACTTCTGTGTCGAGTGTTGACGGCAATGAAGACAACGAAGTTCAAATTACGGACCGCTTTAAGATGAAAGGTATTTTTAAGCGTCGCTCTCAAAAAAAGTTTCGCCTCCGACTAGGGTTGCCCTATGAATGCCCCCTGTACTTTCTTCAAACAAATTGTCGTTATGAAAGTCCTCTTACGTCATTAGTTGTTTGCTAGCGTGAGCATGAAAGTTTAAAATAAACGTTTTTGGATGTGGCGCCCGAAAAAATCCGCAGTTTTTCGGCGGCACACATTTTTATGGTTTTTTACGGCTCAAAGGGCTGGTGGGCTTGAGAAATCCAGGGCCGGTCTGACCTACCCCATCCGCCCCTGTTGGGTGATTCGTACGTGAATCCCCGCGGAAGCCAAATTTTTGTACCTATTATTGAATATTGGTGTAAGTAAGTAGGTATAATGACTGATGTTTTTTTTTTTTCATTCCTTTCATTATCTAAAAAAATAGGGGCCCCACAAACTAAATTAGCACCAGGCCCACCAGTGTCTTAATCCGCCTCTGGGTAGCAATAATTCTTGTTTAAATTACGCGCACCGCAATGCAATCAGGTTAATCTCCACAGCCTTAAGCTTCTGGAGGGTACAGGCTTGAAGACTTTTTCTCCAGCGTAGGGCTTTCCCTAAAAATAGGCATTCCAAGGGAATGTTTAATGAGGCCCCACACATCTACTGCGATCTATTTTTGGTAAACCCTATTTAATCATCTTCTACATAAGTTAAGGTATAACAATAGATGTATTAACTACTAGTGGTGGAATCTTTCCTTTCCCCCCATAACCTCTTTTCAGGATAAACCCTTAGCCGACGCAGCCAAGTGTAGATAAAGTGCCGGCACCGCTGACCACAAACAACCTAAGCGAGACAATATTAGAATCATTTTTCATTTGATATTCAGTCTTTGTCAATAAACTAAGTAATTCTCGTTACCATCAGCTAGTCCATTATTTCAACCTCAATTCAGCAAGAAATACAGTACAAAACAATATCGATTGGTCCATTTTTTAAATAATGAAATGATTGGTCGTTTTATTTAATCAAAAAAGAGTGTCCGGTTAAATTGAAATCTCCTCTCCACTCCTCTAAAAACGATTTAACACGGTGTTAATTAAAGCCCCAAGTTCCTGCTGACGGAAACAAATTGGTGGTTAAAAAAGCTTCCAATTATCCATATAGCGAAAGATAAAAGAGGATTCACCCATGATAAACTGATTTAAACAATTATTCGTAAAAAATACATATTTATTAGAACAAAATTATTTTAAGGCACTTAATTTATAACATTAAAAAATTAAAATACCATTATCAATATTTCAATGTTCAGGAATAGAGATAACGTCTGGATTATAGGAGTTATATGAACAATGTTGCAGAGTTGAATTCCATTACCTAGAAGCAGACTCAGCAAAGCAGAACTTATAAATATATGTAATCATGCGCTTATGACCATTCTTCATTAAACTTAGCTTTAGGCTAGAACGCTCTTTGTAATTTTCCAAAATAAAATTGATTTTTAAAAACAGTATTTTTCGTTTAAAATACATAACTGGCGCAGTCGGTAGGATTCGGGGCAGTTTTACGATCGAAAATCACGTTATCGGAACGGTTCGATCGCGAAAAACGTGAGTGCAACTCTTTGGCACCGAAAACGAACACTAAAATCAATTGACTATCACGTGTGTGCACCCAGAATAATTGACTTTATCAGCGGGCTACAAAACGGATGATTTTTGGAATACAACGAGTGATTAGTGGAGAATCAACGTACCAGGAATATTAGACTGACAACCTAAGGGTAAGTGTCCAATTATTCCTGTTGCCCAATTTTCATATTCCCTGGTTAGGAACGGTGAAAATTTTAAATAAGTTACTTTTATTATTATTTTCTCAATTTTTAAATTTACTTCTATATAAATATCTAGTAATTTACTCAATAATTAATCGTAAGTGTATGACAAATAAGTATTGATAATTTTGATGAGCGTGAGCGATAGTGAAATCGAAGAATTAGCTAGATAGTTACTATCAATTCAAATCTCCAATATCACAATGCCGACATCAGGCGCATCACCCGCAACAGTAAATTATACTTTACTAAAAATGTATACAGACACCATTATGCCGTTTAATGGTGACCCTAGTATGCTTAATAGTTTTCAATCAGCCTGTGACTTCCTTTTTGCTACCTATAATCAATCTAATGATCCAATTCTAAAGAATTACCTATTAAGAGTTATTAGAATGAAATTAACAGATCGTGCCCAAATATTGGTAGGAAGCAGAATGGAACTCGATTCTTGGGATCAAATTAAAGATGCTTTATTTGCTTGCTTCGGTGACAAAAGAAATTTGGAATGCCTAGAACAAGATCTGTTTATGGCAGTACCAAATAAAAATGAAAATCCATTAGATTTTGCTAAAAGATTACAAGTACTACGTAGTGCTTTAGCTCAAAAGATTAATGCTTTTCCTGATACTCATATGGATGCAGCCACTAAAATAATTTACTTGAGACAATACGATCAAGTATGTTTACGTACATTTATTAGAGGCTTACCCGGACATCTACAAAGCATAATTAGACTCAAAAACCCTGACTGTATCGAAACAGCAATGACTCAACTTAACGAGGAAGACAATTTTAACTATATGCAAAATATCTATAATAAAACCCCCACCGTGCAAACAAAGCCTATCAACAATAAATCCCAACACCAAACACTGAATCAACATCAAAATTACCCAAATAAAATGTATTACAACCAGTTTCAAGCGGTAAATAGGACGCCTTTCAACACCCAATTTAGGCCAAATATGCAAGCCCAAGTACCCAATCAAATTAATAATTTTCAACCGGCCCAATTTCCAAGAGGCCCTATAAACATTCAACCACGATATATTCAAAGGAACTATCCAACTAATAAGCAGGTTTTTGGCACACCGAAAAATGTATTCAAACCAACAGGACAAGTACCCACAAATAAACCGGAACCAATGTCCACAAGATCTCGATATACGTTACCAAATCAAAATATACAAGGTAATCAATTTTTCAAGCCAACGGGACCTCCAAACTTTGTTTCTCAAGAGCTGTATCAAATTGATGTAACTCAAACAGAACAGCTTGTTGAAGCCACCGATACCAATACTGATGCTTCAGCAATCATTCCAATATCTACCGAAGGCAACCCTGAAGAATATCAAGCCATAAATCTAGCTGATCAATACCAATCCCAATACTTCAATGCATTTTATGGAGATTATTCTCAATATTACAATATGCCTGACGCATATTACCCAATTTACTATGAAAATGCCCAGCAATTCTATGAGCAACCAGAAAATACTGAAAATTTTCAGATAGCCAGCTCAACGAACCCTGGGAACTGACATTTGATATGCATACGGGAATAAACAACAGCCTTCCATATATTACAATTCAAAACCCACCTTTGAGACTTTTAGTCGATACTGGCTGTTACCATTCTATTATACGACCATCTGTAGCAGAAAAATATTTCCCTGAGAAAATTTTCAATCACCCCACGAAAATAAAAACAGGTATAGGCGAAAAGGAAACTCTTTTCAAAGCCAAAATTCCTAGTTTTCCTGAATTCAAAAACGAGTCCGATATAACTTTCATTCTCTTTGATTTTCACCATTATTTTGATGGCATTATTGGACTAAACGAATTATTAAGGTTCAATTTTGTAATTGACTTAATAAATAAAAAATTAGTCAGCGAAAATGTGACCATACCGATCATTTACAGAGAACCAGATAAGGAAATTCACAGCGTCACATTAAACGCTCACGAAGTCATTACCACGAACGTACCTGTTTCGCAAAACAATGTAGATATTATTATACCCGAGAGCGTCATAGATCAACTTTATTTTCCCGAGACGCTGACTACTGCAAAAAACGGATATGCACAAACAGAAATTTATAACTATACTGATGATACTATAACTTTGCGGTTCACAGAACCCCTGCAGGTCTGGACTTTACCAGATTTTCACAAAGAAACTTTTGATTTTTTCCATATAGAAGATCTCTTGCCTGAAAAATCCCATACAAAACGAGACCCTACAAATATACAAAATTTGATTCGATCTGATCATTTAAATACTGAAGAAAAATCCAGTCTCTTCAAACTTCTTAGAAAGTTCTCAGATATTTTTCACCAGGAAGGAGAAAAATTAACTTTCACAAATAAAATAAAACACGTCATTAAAACCACCGATGAGATACCAATCCACTCAAAAACATACCGGTATCCATTTGTTCATAAAGAAGAGGTTCAAAGGCGGAATAATCCGACAGAGCCAAAGTCCATGGAGCAGTCCTATCTGGGTTGTTCCCAAAAAATTAGATTCCAGCGGCAAACAAAAATGGAGAATATGCGTACACTACAGAGGCTGTAACCAAAAGACTATAGACGATCGCTATCCACTACCGAATATTAACGATATTTTGGATAGATTAGGAAGATGCACTTATTTTTCTACCATAGATCTATCGTCGGGATTCCACCAAATAGAGATGGACCCAGGATCTATCGAAAAGACAGCCTTTAGCGTAGAGAATGGGCATTACGAGTACCTGAGGATGCCCTTCGGGTTGAAAAACGCGCCCGCAACGTTTCAGCGCGTCATGGACAATATTTTACGTGACATACAAGGAAAGATATGCCTCGTGTATATGGACGACATAATCATTTTCTCATGTAGCCTAGAAGAACATATCAAAAACCTCCAACAAGTCTTTGAAAAATTACAAGAATCCAGATTAAAAGTGCAACTTGACAAATCAGAATTTCTCAGGACAGAAGTTGAATTTCTTGGACACGTGATTACAAAAGATGGAATTAAACCAAATCCAAGAAAATTAATAGCGATCCAGAAATTCCCAATTCCGAAGACAGCGAAAGAAATAAAATCGTTCTTGGGACTCTTAGGATACTACAGACGATTTATTAACGGATTTGCAAAACTGACTAAACCATTCACAAAATGCCTAAAGAAAAGAGCTACCATCGAACACAATTCAGAATTTCTAGAAGCCTTCGAAACCTGTAAAAACGTGCTATGCAACGATCCAGTACTACAATATCCAGATTTCGAGAAACCGTTCATGTTAACAACAGACGCCTCTAATGTAGCAATTGGAGCTGTGCTTAGTCAAGGCCCAATCGGAAGCGATCTACCGATAGCATACGCCTCTAGGACCTTAAATTCGACAATCGAAAAAGAACTCCTGGCGATTGTATGGGCTACGAAATATTTTCGGCCATACCTTTTCGGACGAAAATTCACCATCGTGACCGATCACAAACCATTAGAACATTTATTTAACGTCAAAGAAACGGGTTCCCGATTAGTCAGATGGAGATTGAAAATGGAAGAATTCGACTACGAAATTCGATATAAGAAAGGTAAACAAAATCTTAACGCGGACGCTTTGTCTCGCATTGAGATCAATTTAACTGAAGATGAATCAATAATAGACAACCCTGGTGACATAAATGATGAGATTGAAAAATATTTGCAAAAATCTAAAAATCAAGATCCGACCATAGAAGAACTAGATTTACTCAGAGACGTCTTCAACCCAGAAGAAATCGAAAGACAAAATCAAGAAGCAACTGATCAAAATGCAAATTAAATATCCATTATTTCCAACGTTCGAATTAGACCACCAATAATACCCAACGAAAGTGACAATGAGACCGTGCAATCAGCCATTGAAAATCCGATATTAAATATACCGATAGTAGAAAATTGTGCTAACAATTATGGTAATCAAGTAATTTTAATACAAGGACACAAAGAACGCTATCACGTCATAACATCCAAAGTTTTTGAAATCAAACATCGATACACGGTACACTTATCGCAAAATTTCCGAGAAGAAATTATTAAATTCTTCAAAGAATATGTAAATCCCAAGCAACTATTTTGATTGTACGTAAAGAAATCCGATATTAATCTTGCTGACCAAATATCCGCGATTCTCCCAAGCATATTTAGAAATCACATCACTTACAAACTCGCTTTGTCAAAATTACTAGTAACTGACGTAATAGACCAGAACAGACAAAAAGAGTTAATTAAATATCATCACGTGACTAAAACATGCCATCGAGGTATAAGTGAAGCCCAAATGGCCATTAAAAAATTATATTATTGGCCAAATATGAAAAGCGACCTTAGTGAATACATAAACAATTGCGACATATGCCAGCAGACGAAATATGATAGACACCCACCTAAGATTAAATTCGCATTAACGCCTACTCCAACACAGCCTCTAGAGTCCATTCATATAGACACATTCCAAATCTGTAATGCGAAATTTCTCACAATAATAGACGTATTTTCGCGATACGCTCAGGCATACCCATTGGAACCTGCTTGCACAGCAACCATCGTGCTTGATAATTTATCAACCTTCGTAAGCCATCATGGCCTACCTCAACAAATTACTTGTGACAATGGCACAGAATTTAAAACTTCCTTGCTATTGGATTATTGCAAATTACATAATATTCGTATATCCATTTTACGACACCTGGCAATTCTAATAGTAATAGTCCAGTCGAAAGATTACATTCGACATTAATTGAACTATTTCGAATTTTGAAATTGAAAGAACCTAAAGCAAGTACAAAACAATTAATGCAATATGCAATAATAGGTTACAACTCCTCAGTGCATAGTTTAACGAAACAGAAACCGTTCGACGTCATAAATGGACGACTCAACAGTCTAGACCCATTTGACCTTACTGACGAAGTCATTTTAAACAAATATGTTGATGACCGGAAAGAAAGATTGAAATTAATTTATAACCAGATTTATGAACAATCGGTAAATACAAAAACTAAATTAAATCAAAAACAAAACGAAAAACGTGAAAACCCACCAGAATATAAACCTGACAGTAAAATATTCGTTACTGATAAAAGTGCGAAACGTACTAAAGACAAACCTAGACGAAAACCAAACATAGTACACCAAGACATTGGCGATAAAGTTATTAATACCAAGAAGAAAGTAGTGCACAAATCGCAAATTCAAAGACCTAAACTTTTTTCTTCTCCACAGAATAAAGACGATGAACGGAACGAAGCTATTCCTTCTTGCAGCTATGCTGACAATATCCGGAACATCGATAAGTAGGTCCACTGACATCATCCCTCTCAGTAACCCCCTACTTCCATTCCGTTTAGGAAACTCAAAAATAATTGAGAGTAAACACACATTTCTACATTTTGTAGAAATTAACCCAATAATTAATAATTTAGATACTATAAAATATTCTTATAATATTTTAGAATCACTAATTAATCAAACGCTTAATAATACATCGCTTAATTCGCATCAAGTTCATATCCATTCAAGAAATTTGCTTAATCATGCTAAATATCTTATCTTAGAAGTTAGTACTAGGGTAGATAATATTAAACCACATAATCGTAATAAACGTGGCTTAATTAATTTAGTAGGAAAAACGTCAAAATGGCTTTTTGGCATACTAGATTCAGACGATGCCGAAAAATACGATAAAGCAATTGCAGAATTGCAAAGTCATCAAGAGTTATCTGAGAAAGAAGTTAATTTGCAAATATCCCTAACAAAGCAGCTGATTAACAACTATAATAGCACAATATCTCTTCTCAGTGAAAATCAATTAATAATTCAACTATAGAATAACATTTTGATAAAAGAATTATTGATCTAACTACTTCTCTAAAAGCACAAAATAGTATTTTTCAAATAATTCTTAATTGTCAAAACCTTATTACAACGTTCTTAGATAACCTAGAGGATGCAATAATGTTCGCTAACTTAAACACATTGCATACGTCAGTAATAGCCGCCTCCGAATTAAAACAAATTATTGCTAACTTGACTGTTTTATATGGCGAAAGCAGAATTGCAAATTTTGGGAATTTGAAATATTATTATCAACTAGCTGGTTTACAAGTAAACTTCTCTAAAGACAAAATAATATTTGCTATTCATTTCCCAATCTTTCTAGAAGACTTATTTGAAATTTTTCGCCTAATTCCTGTTCCAATCCAAAATACGATTTTCATCCCAAACTTACCTTACCTAATAATTGGCACTGACCTACAACAATATGAAGAGGAAGCCTGCCCAATGATTCAAGATTTCTACATCTGCCAAAATCATCTCAGCCCACAATTAAATGACTGTGTTGTAGCCCTGATCAAGAAAGCAGAAATCCAGAACTGTGAAGCTGTCCAAGTCAACGTAACAATGCCGATAGTGCAACCTATCACTAACAAATACATCTTGGCAATTCCAACCGAAACTAACCTTAAAGTGCAGAAGCTTTGCCAAAACAATGAAATCGCATTTATAAATCACCCCAGCTTAATTGAAATCCCATTAAACTGTGGAATAATTACTGGGAACATTCGAATCTGGAACAAGGAGGAAACAATTGATGGAAGACCTCTTTCTCTGCCTCTAATCAAAATCGAAACAATGACGTCACCAATTGCGAACCAGAAAATCCTCAAATTAAATTCTGTAGACCTGGACAAAATTAAAGATCTCCAGAAACAATCCGAATTACTAATGCCAATAAAACATGAAGCTATCCATCCGGCTACCTGGAGTATAGCTACCATATGTACCACGTTGCTGTTCATCGCGATTGCTCTAACAGTAATTTGGCAACTCTACAAAAGAAGAGATACCCAACTTCGTGAACTCATCCAAGGAAGAATTATCCAAACATCCGAAAACAGTCCCCAATCCGTATTGTTTATTTCGACTTCGGCGGGAGGAGTTATATGAACAATGTTGCAGAGTTGAATTCCATTACCTAGAAGCAGACTCAGCAAAGCAGAACTTATAAATATATGTAATCATGCGCTTATGAGCATTCTTCATTAAACTTAGCTTTAGGCTAGAACGCTCTTTGTAATTTTCCAAAATAAAATTGATTTTTAAAAACAGTATTTTTCGTTTAAAATACATAACTTAGGTTAACGGTTTTTTTTTTTTTAAATCAGCCAATTAGTAGGTACCGAAAGCTTGGAATGCAATAAAGAATTATTTAAAAAAATTGTTTGGCCGATTTATCCGCTATATAAAAAAAAAAAAAAAACGTAAAATTTCAAGGTTCGTCAGTCAAATACTCAATTGAACCTTGCAAATAAACTTCGATAAAGTTCACAAACTCATTGAAATCAGTTCCAGAGTAATAACTATAAATATCAATTTCGCAATATTCATCAACTTCTAGGTTTTTTTCATCAACTATATCATCAAATGAACATTCTTGGTGAACATCTACAAATTTCTTAAATGGATTAGAATTCCCTCCAGAATAATTATTGCTAACACTTGTAGGATTTTCTTTTCGATTACCACGCAAAGGATCCAAAGAAAGTAGATCGTTTTTGGAATAAACGAATTTGGATTTTGGCTCAACTGAAAATATGTTATTGTAAAATGCTTGTCATTTTGAATTCCCTTATTCTTACCAGTCTCCGCAATATTCTCAGTAACATTTTCAATTTTTTTATCATCTTCAAGTTTTTTTAAATCAATCTCAACCAATTCTTTATTGAACCCTTGCAAACACTTTAAAATGTCTTCCAACAAAGGCCCCTCTTCAACATTTCCGAGTTGCTTCAGTAAAACTTCAATTTCGTTTAAGAATTCCAGTTCATCAACATTTTCTTTACAGTTTTGTTTCTTAGAAATTATGTCTGCAAGTAAGTCTGGAATACTTTTATTATTTGTAGGTTTTTTTCTTTTCCGCTTTTTGTTAGAGGCCTTAATTTCAGTATTATTATTTTCAGGATTAATTTGATTGTTAGAAGATGTAACATTATTTTCCAAAGTATCTGAAGCATTTACTAAATCAATTGGGTTTTCAAAATTTACCGGGTATAAAAGTGGTTTAGCTTTTTCCTGAGTAAATCCTGTAAAATGAAATCCATTTTGGTTGAAATTGTTATTAGAACAAACAGCTTCATCTAGTTCAATAGAAAAGGCCCGTTTTTCCTTTTTGTCATTGTTTGTAGCAATTATTTCATCCACTTCCTTGTTGATTTTTTTCAAGTAATTCAAACCAACATTGTAAGGCACCTCTTTAGAATAATACAATTTTTGGACTAATTTTTCAATTTCAATGAAAACTTTATTTTTCAGGCTTCCAGAATCATCTAAATTTTCTTCTTGTTTTGTTGCAGTTATTACGATGGAAGATTGAGCGTTTTCAGTCATATTTGTTGCGGTATCACAATAATTGGGGCTTTTTGGTTTCGATTCTTCAAGTGATTTTGTTACTTTTGAATTCAAATCTGAAATAAGAATAATAATGTTGACTGAGGTGGTTTTTTGATTAGCCATAAAGGGTTCTTGAAAGAAGATAAAATCTTTCAGGAACTGGAAATGATTTTTTGACTTTTAAAAATAAATAAATATGATGTTTTTTCGTTATCCCTCTATACTTTACCTGTTTGCAAGTCCTGTTTTTGTGCTCGTTGCTGATTTTCCGCATGGAGAATGCTTTTTTGAGGAAGTTTCAACAACTTTGGAGCAAGTTTCCTGAAATATAAAGGGCTTTCAATAGTGAAGTAAAAATACCAAGATATATCATGCTTCTATAAGTTCATGTTTTTCTTTGAAAACATGATAAATGGAAAAAGATTCATCTGCCCTTATTTACTTACGATTCTATGGATTGCTTAGGTTTGGCTTGATTAGGTTTAGCTTGATTCACAACCTCTTGTTTGCTCTAAAAAAATAAAAGTCATCACATGTAGCATGTAGCACAAAAAGTAATAAGTAATATTAACAGTTTAATATCAGTTTTGCTCCAAGTTCAAACCACTCACTAAACCCTTTATACAACATTTTATAAAACCAAAAATGTAAAAAAAAAAACAAACTATCCCATTTTTAGAACCTTGTTTTGGGTGTCAGAGAATAATTTTGATTATCGAAATAAATTATTGTGTACCACTTACTGGAGCATTCATCATGCCACAATATGTCTTAAACCACAATTCAGCAGCCTTTTCATGGCGTAAACTAGTATAGTGTTCAATGCATAGTTTAATTGTACGAAATCCAGCTTTACATATAAAGCACCAGTCAGCATGCATCTGATTTTTCAATCCAATCGCCAATGTTTGACAAAATGGACTGTATTTTCCTAAAAATGTAACCATAAATGACATTGCATGTTAGTTTTTTTTTTCAATACCGTTGATAGGAGGATATCCTAAGGCCACTAGATTGCTATTGTGTGTACCAGTTTTTAAATGCTCCCACAGGTCTTGTTTTGATGGTGTGAGAAGGCAACAAGCAGAACAATAGCATTCAACATTTCTAAAACAAAATACACTTTATGAAAATATTCAGTGTTTAAAAATCAATCCACTGGTGGGAAAATGTACCATACCATCATAATTTTGTAATAGTGAGATGTAGATTTTAAGAAAAGAATCCCAGCCCTGGCGGTTATTTTTCAGGATACTTTCAGATTTCATAACCATTATATGACTATCATTAATGAAGCCTAGGCAAAGCTCGGGGCATTTTTTTTTTTGAAGACCTAATATAATTCTCTGGTGAGACCACATTTAGAATATGCTAGTAATATTTGGAATCCAACTACTGCAGTAAGCACCAATGAAATACAAAAGGTTTAAAAACGTTTCTAAGATATCTCTACATTAGGAAAAATAATATTTATCCACACATGGTCTCATAGAGATCCATGCTTGATAGTTTCAATATGGTTAGCCTATCTACTCAAAGGAAAACACAGGCTGCCATGTTCATTTACTATATTTTAAACAATTGAGAACTGTGATCTAACTAGCTATACCCAAGGTTTTTTGAGAGAAATAGGTTGCCTGATAACTTTTATGACGTCATCTGTATACCTAAAACATGATGCAAATCTCCATAAGGCAACCCAGATGCATCATCAAGTTACCCATTACCAGACAACCTGTTAACTTTAGGAACCTTGAGCTATACCTTCGATTAATGTGCCAAAAATACATTTGAGAATATAAAATAGTGAACCATTTTATGTTAATAAATCTAGTCCTTCAGCAATGAACCATATGCTTCCAGTGTGCAACTACTGCATCAAAGTGCTAATAAGCAATGTGAATCTGGATATTTCCAATGTTAGCATTAATCAGTTGAGAAAACATTTAAATTTATTTTTTTGTGTTATCTGTTAGATCCTTATTTTATTTTGTTTTTTGTATTTTTGTGTAATTTTTATATTAGGACCTATACTAGGGTTGCCAGGCGTCATGAGTTTCGCAGAATGTCCTGAATTCAGAGTCCTACGTCCTGTCTCCTGCCCAAATGTCCTGCATTCATTTTCCTGATATTTTGGCTAAGCTATTTCATAATTTAACGTGATACAACAACAAGAAATATACTTTTTCCAAAAAATAATTTTCTCCATAGTTTTTTGTGATTTAATTTATAAAATTATCAAGGCGCAAACCACCTAGGTATTTTTGGCCAAAAATGTGAGGAATTTGTGGGAAATTTAGAGGAATTTGTGAGGAATTTGAAGGAACTCGTCCGTCTTTATGAAAATTTGGGGAATTTATAGGAAATTTGGGGGATTTTATGGGGAATTTAGGAGAATTTGTAAGGAATTTATGACAAATTTAAAGGAAATTGTCAAATTTAAAAAATTCAAAAGAATAATGAATACAGTTTTTGTAGGCTGATTTCCAAGATTTTTCATGTTGTTATTTTCCACTGAAAAAATTTGAAATTTTGGGAAAATGAGCTTCTCACCTTCCTTTTTACATGCAAAAAGTTTCAAAATTTTCCATTCACTAGTTTTCCAGGATATCTTTCAAATGTGTGAGACTGTATTTTCAATTAATTCAGTGATTGTAGGTTGATTTCCAAGATTCCTCATGTTGTAATTTTCTACTTGAAAAATTTGAAATGAGCTTCTCACCTTCCTCTTTACATGCAAAAAGTTTCAAAATTTTCCCTTCTCTAGTTTTCCAGGAAAACTTTGAAATGTGTGAGACTGTATTTTCAATTAATTCAGTTATTGTAGGTTGATTTCCAAGATTTTTCATGTTGCTGTTTTCCACTGGAAAAATTTTAAATTTTGGGAAAATGAGCTTGTTACCTTCTTCTTTACATGCAAAAAGTATCAAAATTTTCCCTTCACTAGTTTTCCAGGAAAACTTTGAAATGTGTGAGGCTGTATTATCAACTTATTTAGTGTTTGTAGGTTGATTTCCAAGATTTTTCATGTTGCTGTTTCCTGTTTTCTACTGGAAAAATTTGAAATTTTGGGAAAATGAGCTCCACCTTCCTCTTTACATGCAAAAAGTTTCAAAATTTTCCCTTCACTAGTTTTCCAGGAAATCTTTGAAATGTGTGAGACTGTATTTAAATTAATTCAGTTATTGTAGGTTGATTTCCAAGATTCCTCATGTTGTAATTTTCTACTTGAAAAATTTGAAATGAGCTTCTCACCTTCCTCTTTACATGCAAAAAGTTTCAAAATTTTCCCTTCACTAACTTTCCAGGAAATCTTTGAAATGTGTGAGACTGTATTTTCAATTAATTCAGTTATTGTAGGTTGATTTCCAAGATTTTTCATGTTGCTGTTTTCCACTGGAAAAATTTTAAATTTTGGGAAAATGAGCTTGTTACCTTCTTCTTTACATGCAAAAAGTATCAAAATTTTCCCTTCACTAGTTTTCCAGGAAAACTTTGAAATGTGTGAGGCTGTATTATCAACTTATTTAGTGTTTGTAGGTTGATTTCCAAGATTTTTCATGTTGCTGTTTCCTGTTTTCTACTGGAAAAATTTGAAATTTTGGGAAAATGAGCTCCACCTTCCTCTTTACATGCAAAAAGTTTCAAAATTTTCCCTTCACTAGTTTTCCAGGAAATCTTTGAAATGTGTGAGACTGTATTTTCAATTAATTCAGTTATTGTAGGTTGATTTCCAAGATTTTTCATGTTGCTGTTTTCCACTGGAAAAATTTTAAATTTTGGGAAAATGAGCTTGTTACCTTCTTCTTTACATGCAAAAAGTATCAAAATTTTCCCTTCACTAGTTTTCCAGGAAAACTTTGAAATGTGTGAGGCTGTATTATCAACTTATTTAGTGTTTGTAGGTTGATTTCCAAGATTTTTCATGTTGCTGTTTCCTGTTTTCTACTGGAAAAATTTGAAATTTTGGGAAAATGAGCTCCACCTTCCTCTTTACATGCAAAAAGTTTCAAAATTTTCCCTTCACTAGTTTTCCAGGAAAACTTTGAAATGTGTGAGACTGTATTTTCAATTAATTCAGTTATTGTAGGTTGATTTCCAAGATTTTTCATGTTGCTGTTTTCCACTGGAAAAATTTTAAATTTTGGGAAAATGAGCTTGTTACCTTCTTCTTTACATGCAAAAAGTATCAAAATTTTCCCTCACTAGTTTTCCAGGAAAACTTTGAAATGTGTGAGGCTGTATTATCAACTTATTTAGTGTTTGTAGGTTGATTTCCAAGATTTTTCATGTTGCTGTTTCCTGTTTTCTACTGGAAAAATTTGAAATTTTGGGAAAATGAGCTCCACCTTCCTCTTTACATGCAAAAAGTTTCAAAATTTTCCCTTCACTAGTTTTCCAGGAAATCTTTGAAATGTGTGAGACTGTATTTTCAATTAATTCAGTTATTGTAGGTTGATTTCCAAGATTTTTCATGTTGCTGTTTTCCACTGGAAAAATTTGAAATTTTGGGAAAATGAGCTTCTTACCTTCTTCTTTACATGGTGAGACTGTATTTTCAACTAATTCAGTTTTTGTAGGTTAATTTCCAAGATTTTTCATGTTGTTATTTTTTACTGGAAAAGTTTGAAACTTTGGGAAAATGAGCTTCTCACCTTCCTCTTTACATGCAAAAAGTTTCAAAATTTTCCCTTCACTAGTTTTCCAAGAAAACTTTGAAATATGTGAGACTGTATTTTCAATTAATTCAGTTATTGTAGTTTGATTTTCAAGATTCCTCATGTTGTAATGTTCTACTGGAAAAATTTGAAATTCTGGGAAAATGAGTTTCTCACTTTCCTCTTTACATGCAAAAAATTTCAAAATTTTTCCTTCACTATTTTTCCAGGAAAACTTTGAGATACTTATGTGAGACTGTATTTTCAATTAATTCAGTTATCGTAGGTTGATTTTCAAAATTCCTCATGTACTTTTCTACTAGAAAAATTTAAAATTCTGGGAATATGAGCTTCTCACTTTCCTCTTTATGTGCAAAAAGTTTCAAAATTTTCCCTTCCCAAGTTTTCCAGAAAAACTTTGAAATATATGAGACTGTATTTTCAATTAATTCAGTTATTGTAGTTTGATTTTCAAGATTCCTCATGTTGTAATGTTCTACTGGAAAAATTTGAAATTCTGGGAAAATGAGTTTCTCACTTTCCTCTTTACATGCAAAAAGTTTCAAAATTTTCCCTTCTCTAGTTTTCCAGGAAAACTTTGAAAAGTGTGAGACTGTATTTTCAAGTTATTTAGTTTTTGTAGGTTGATTTCCAAGATTTTCATGTTGTAATTTTCTACTGGAAAAATTTGAAATTCTGGGAAAATGAGCTCCTCACCTTCCTCTTTACATGCAAAAAGTTTCAAAATTTTTCCTTCACTATTTTTCCAAGAAAACTTTGAAATATGTAAGACTGTATTTTCAATTAATTCAGTTATCATAGGTTGATATTCAAAATTCCTCATGTTGTAATTTTCTACTGGAAAAATTTAAAATTCTGGGAATATGAGCTTCTCACCTTCCTCTTTATATGCAAAAAGTTTCAAAATATTCCCTTCCCTAGTTTTCCAGGACAATTTTGAAATATGTGAGACTGTATTTTCAATTAATTCAGTTATTGTAGGTTGATTTTCAAGATTCCCCATGTTGTAATTTTCTACTGGAAAAATTTGAAATTCTGCGAAAATGAGTTTCTCACTTTCCTCTTTACATGCAAAAAGTTTCAAAATTTTCCCTTCTCTAGTTTTCCAAGAAAACTTTGAAATATGTGAGACTGTATTTTCAATTAATTCAGTTATTGTAGGTTGATTTACAAAATTCCTCATGTTGTAGTTTTCTATTGGAAAAATTTAAAATTTTGGGAACATGAGCTTCTCACCTTCCTCTTTATATGCAAAAAGTTTCAAGATTTTCCCTTTCCTAGTTTTCCAGGTAAACTTTGAAATATGTGAGACTGTATTTTCAATTAATTCAGTTATTGTAGGTTGATTTCCAAGATTTTTCATGTTGCTGTTTTCCACTGGAAAAAATTGAAATTTTGGGAAAATGAGCTTCACCTTCCTCTTTACAAGCAAAAAGTTTGAAAATTTTCTCTTTAATAGTTTTCCAGGAAAACTTTGAAATGTGTGAGACTGTATTTTCCACGTATTCAGTTTTTGTAGGTTGATTTCCAAAATTTTTCATGTTACTGTTTTCTACTGGAAAAATTTGAAATTTTGGGAAAATGAGCTTCTCACCTTCCTTTTTACATGCAAAAAGTTTCAAAATTTTCCATTCACTAGTTTTCCAGGATATCTTTCAAATGTGTGAGACTGTATTTTCAATTAATTCAGTGATTGTAGGTTGATTTCCAAGATTCCTCATGTTGTAATTTTCTACTTGAAAAATTTGGAATTATGGAAAAATGAGCGTCTCAGCTTCCTCTTTATATGCAAAAAGTTTTAAATTTTTCCTTTCACTTTTTTCAGGAAAACTTTGAAATAAGTGAGACTGTATTTTCAATTAATTCAGTGATTGTAGGTTGATTTCCAAGATTCCTCATGTTGTAATTTTCTACTTGAAAAATTTGAAATTTTGGGAAAATGAGCTTCTCACCTTCCTCTTTACATGCAAAAAGTTTCAAAAATTTCCCTTCACTAGTTTTCCAGGAAAATTTTGAAACGTGTGAGACTGTATTTTCAACTAATTCAGTTTATGTAAGTAGGTTGATTTCCAAGATTTTTCATGTTGTTATTTTCCACTGAAAAAATTTGAAATTTTTTGGGAAAATGGGCTTCTCACTTTCCTCTTTACATGCAAAAAGTTTCAAATTTCTCTCTTCACTAGTTTTCCAGGAAAACTTTGAAATGTGTGAGACTGTATTTTCAACTAATTCAGTTTTTGTAGGTTGATTTCCAAGATTTTTCATGTTGCTGTTTATGCGTAAAAAATTCCCCTTCGAGTAATTGTTTGCACCAATTCTGGGACGGTGGTTTACCCCTTGAAAATTATATTAATATATTTCACTTTTTTAAGTACCTAGGTACCTGGATATGTACTTTATTTAGACCTTATTATTATTATTATTATTATTATTTAATATGTATTTTGGTATTACATACTACTATTATCATAGGTAGGTAAATAAAAAAGTCCCGATTTTTTCGTCACTGTCCTTCATTTTTTCAACACATGACCTGCAAATTCAATTTTGAAACTGGGCAACCTTACACCTATTGTTGTTATTGAGCATTTCTTTGGCTATCTCTCGGGGTATTTGCAAACCTTTACATGTAGTATTTACCTACCTCAGATGTTTGTTAAGGGCCAAATTATGGACTGACTGGTAAATGTCTGATTGTTACCGAGCAGGTACTTTTTATGCTCTAGATAATAGAAAGTACCTGCTAGGTAACAACCAGACACTTACCAGTTAGTCCATAATTTGGCCCTAAGTGAATCAAATAAATAAAATGTTTTTGTTCTATACTCCATCTAATTAGAAAATTAACGAGTAAGTAATCGAAAATTTTTGAAGCACAAATAATTAGTCATTCCTTACCTTAGATGCGATTCAGTACTATTGTGATTATCAAGATCCAGTTTTACCCCAAACTTCCTGCTACAGGCTTTGCAATGGAATGGTTTGGCTTCAGTGGGAATATAAACATTCACAGGACTTGCATCTGCCAAGTTGCTGATAACACTTTGTCGTACTTTGTTTTTAAACAAAGTTACATTTTCTTTGTGTCTTCTGCTAGAGAAATGGGAACTTTTTACAGCAGGCGTGGTTATTTGAACTTCGCACAGTTTACATTGGGTAGACGTGACTACTTGGCTTAAGGCCTGGTTTATTAAAACCTCTACTGTATCCATGTTTGAATTTGAAAACTGAAATAATAACAATTTTAAGGAACCAATATAAAAAAATATTCAATGAATCAGATTTTAACCTACTGAGTTTTATATTAAATGAAGGCGCATAAGAGCAGATAAAATATCACAATCGAAAGTATCCTGCAAAATGGAAAATCATCAAGTTAATAGTCAATAGATGAGTAGGCAAAAGTGTTTGGCCGTGGCTGAAGTACCAGAGGTGTTACTCTAATTATTTTTTTGAAGTAACGTCAATATAGCAATATGTAAATAGGTCCTTTTTTTAGCAATTTAAAGTGAAGGTGATATTCAACAACACAACAATAATATTTTATTTTTTATAAACCAAAAATTTGAATCAACATATTGAAAATATAAATCTATTGTGAGAAAAAACGGCGTCTCCATATTCCTATTCCTCACATGCCCTTACCCAATAGTTATATGTAAACCAAAGGGAGGGGAGTGTAGGTATAGTTCTCTCCTGCAGGCTGCAGGTGAAATTCCAAAGGGAGAAACGGAACTTCACTACTCCAAGGGAATATACCTACTAAAGTATATGATTTCTCATACGACAAGATAATAGTAGATAATAATCTATACCTAATACCTGCATTACACATGAGGAGATATGCGATACCTATCGTTTAAATTTTTTTTATGAGTGTGCAAAGTGAAAATGAGTTTTCCATTTTTAATCATTAGTGGTATAAAAATAATCTAAGGTATAAAATAATGGTCATCAAATTCAAGAATTTTTTTTTCAGCAAATGCAGGTAGGTAATTTATGCATTTGGAGCTAAAACTATGATCTACAGCGAAAAAACTTCTGCCTAGGAAGGAATAGTATATTACAATCCGAGACGGGAAATACTTCATTGCTGGTCGAGAGGTTATATAGTTTATCGAGACACCTAGCGTCGAGATAAACTGAACCTCGAGACAGCAATGAAATTTCCCGTCGAGGTTTGTATACTATTTTATTTTTAACCATAATTTCTTTAAAAAAAAAAATTATGAGAACCAAATAAGGTCGGGAAATGAGGACAGGAAATCAGGACGGAAATAATTTCCAGTTCTCATTTCCCGTCCTGGGACAGGTAATGGAGCAGGAAAATTAAAAGACAGTAATGTGACATTTTCAAATTTTTGAAAAGTCAGTAATGACAACATTTCAATCATTTCATATATGGTTAAAAATAATAGTATATTGTGTATTTAGGTGGAAAAGTGACACATTCTCGGCCGACGGTGTAAGTTGACGGGCGAGGCGTAGCCGAGGCCGGCAAACACCGAAGGCCGGGAATGTGCTTTTCCACCGAAATACACATACTATTTTTTCTGCAATCGGTTAAATACCTGTTAAATGTTTGTCTTCTAGTTCCAATTATTCAGCAGTTTTCCCGGCCTAGGCCGGAAAAGTGTTTCCCGTATTGTTATTCATTGATTCCTTAGCAACTATTGAAACATAATTGAAATACCAGAATATTGAGTTTTGCGATCTGTCAACCGGTCAAAAATGGTGACATTTCTTGTCAATCGCAGAAAAAATAATTCACTTTTCTCCCTAGGGAGGGAAAATTACTATTTTCCTCCCTGAAAAGAAGGTAAAAAATTGTCACTTTCTGACAGGGTCATAGGAAAATGTGTCTTTCCTGCCTTGCCTATGAAGCCTGTTTTATAAGTATTTTATTCTACCCTACAAAGTCAGGTTATTTTTCATATTTCCATTTTTCTCTAACAAAGGCAAAGGACCAAGAATATCACCTTCACTTTAAATTGCTAGAAAAAGTACCTATCTACATATTGCTATAATGACATATATCCGTGAAGTGAGCAACAAAAATTTTACAGTCGACCAGTTCATTACTGGTGATGATTATTTTAAAATGCAAAATCACAATATATCTTCTTTTAAATGGTTAAATAGTTTGAATTAGGGACAAAATACATTTCCCCAGAGTTATTTCACTACTTATTCGCCAATTTACTATAAATTGTTGATAAAATAAGTTGCTTTTTCATTTTTCCAATTTTCAAGGTATTGTTTCACTTAAATTGTGATTGAATATCGAAAGGTGATTGAAAAGACGTTAAATGAACCTAGATTTAACCACCCTACCCCTCTGATAAGGAAGATACCCAAATAAAATGTCAAAAACATAGGATTTTCTCAATTTTCTCAAACTTCAAGGTATTTTTTCACTTAAATTGTAATAGAATGTCGAAGACTGATTAAAAAGACGTCAAATGGACCTAGATTTAACCCCCCTACCCCTCTGATAAGGGAGATACCCAAATAAAATGTTAAAAACATAGGATTTTTTCAATTTTCTCAAACTTCAAGGTATTGTTTCACTTAAATTGTGATAGAATATCGAAAAGTGATTGAAAAGACGTCAAATGAACCTAGATTTAACCCCCCTACCCCTTTGATAAGGGAGATACTCAAATAAAATGTCAAAAACATAGGATTTTCTCAATTTTCTCAAACTTCAAGGTATTTTTTCACTTAAATTGTAATAGAATGTCGAAGACTGATTAAAAAGACGTCAAATGGACCTAGATTTAACCCCCCTACCCCTCTGATAAGGGAGATACCCAAATAAAATGTTAAAAAAATAGGTTTTTTTCAATTTTCTCAACTTTCAAGGTATTGTTCCACTTAAATTGTGATAGAATATCGAAGAGTGATTGAAAAGACGTCAAATGAACCTAGATTTAACCCCCCTACTCCTCTGATAAGGGAGATACCCAAATAAAATGTTAAAAAAATAGGATTTTTTCAATTTTCTCAAACTTCAAGGTATTGTTTCACTTAAATTGTGATAGAATATCGAAGAGTGATTGAAAAGACGTCAAATGAACCTAGATTTAACTCCCCTACCCCTCTGATAAGGAAGATACCCAAATAAAATGTCAAAAAAATAGGTTTTTTTCAATTTTCTCAAACTTCAAGGTATTGTTTCACTTAAATTGTGATAGATTATCGAAGAGTGATTGAAAAGACGTCGAATGAACCTTGATTTAACTCCCCTACCCCTCTGATAAGGAAGATACCCAAATAAAATGTCAAAAAAATAGGTTTTTTTCAATTTTCTCAAACTTCAAGGTATTGTTTCACTTAAATTGTGATAGATTATCGAAGAGTGATTGAAAAGACGTCGAATGAACCTTGATTTAACTCCCCTACCCCTCTGATAAGGAAGATACCCAAATAAAATGTCAAAAAAATAGGTTTTTTTCAATTTTCTCAACTTTCAAGGTATTGTTCCACTTAAATTGTGATAGAATATCGAAGAGTGATTGAAAAGACGTCGAATGAACCTAGATTTAACTCCCCTTCCCCTCTGATAAGGAAGATACCCAAATAAAATATCAAAAAAATAGGTTTTTTTCAATTTTCTCAAACTTCAAGGTATTGTTTCACTTAAATTGTGATAGAATATCGAAGAGTGATTGAAAAGACGTCAAATAGACCTAGATTTAACCCCCCTAGCCCTCTGATAAGGAAGATACCCAAATAAAATGTCAAAAAAATAGGCTATGTTTTTGACATTTTATTTGGGTATCTCCCCTATCAGAGGGGTAGAGGGGTTAAATCTAGGTTCATTTGACGTCTTTTCAATCACTTTTCGATATTCTATCACAATTTAAGTGAAACAATACCTTGAAGCAGGGTTGGATGAACCCACCGGGATACCGGAAAATCCCCGGTGGGCCGATCGGAGTGTCCCAAGTAGCACATAATATGGGGTAAACATCGTTTTTCAGTTGGGCCAATATTTATTCATTTTTGTTGATAAATCAACACAGTACCAATATTGGGGCAACGTTAGTTTTAACTATGTGGAAACAATATTTAAAAATAATCTTGTACCAATATTGTTTTCGTAGATTAATTAACTCTTCGGTAATTTGAATATTGGCCCAAGACTTTTCACTACAATATTGATTTATGAAATATTGGCCAAATATTACATTTTATATTATCGATACAATATTGTAATATAATATTAATTCAATATTGGCATTCAATTTTTTATTCATATTTAAATTCACTTCAAAAACTTTGTATACCCAATATTTATTTCCAATTTTTTCGCAATATTGATACTTTTTGAAAAACCCAATGAAGGGCCAATATTTACATACTAATTTTTACCAAGGTTAGATTTTCTGAATTGAAAATGTTGGTCCAATATAGAGTATTCAATGTGCGCACTTGGTGTGCCGACCAAAAAATAGATGGAGACTCTGTCTTCACTTTACCTGTCTTAAACCTGGTTCCAGGATGAAGCCAAAAATTGGTTGTTTTCTCTCTGCGGGACCCTGGCGGGACTTAACCATGCTGATGACTTGTGATACAGCGAAACGGGTCCACGGATGGTCTGGCAGAGAGAAAACACTTCTTAGTCGGTCCTTATAATTGGTCCGTTACCTTAATTAAATATAATATAAAGTCAAGATTTACATACGTCTTCGGGCCAATATTGGTAATTTCAATTGGCCCTATATTGCATAAAGTTCTTGATATGATATTGATTATTTCTTTTTGGGCCAACATTTGGTTACGTTATTGTACCAACGTTGGTATTTGTTTTTGGGTATATATTGACATAAGTTCTTGGACAAATATAGCAGAATGTCCACATCTTTTATTGGGCCAACATAGAGAATCTGACTTGGGCCAATAAATCGTAGTTATTGTCCCAATATTGGCCCAACATGGGAGTGCTACTTGGGGTGGGCCGGTCTTTAGAACAACAGGATTATTAAGATACTTTCAAACCAAAATCTGAGATTAAACGGACGGCCTCAATATTATGAAGGCACAAAGAATGGTCAATTTAATTTATGGCGCACTGAAAAGGGAACAACGCAACATAAAAGACGTAAAGTTAGAACCAACTAAGAAGAACCCCTGACGTCATCACTGACGAAGAAGGCAAATTTCCTTTTCACTCCCATTTGAAGTGAGACAAAAGATCACGCGGTGGCTTCTTCCTATTTGG